GGATCCCATATAGGGATGGCCGGTTTGCTCACTGGCTGAGCGTGGTGCTGACAACACCAAGCCGAGGGTTAAGATCCCCTTACTGGTCATCTTTAAAAAAAAAAAAAAAAAATTAAATTTTGGGGCCTGGCCGGTTAGCTCAGTTGGTTAGAGCACTGCCTTGTAACACCAAGGTCATGGGTTTGGGTCCCTGCACCAGCCAACCACAAAAAAACAAAACAAACAAACAAAAACTTTTGTGTAGCATTAAACCTGGGTCTGAGTGCAAGTGGTGTTTACAACTAATTGATCACAACCAGTCACAGATTTCTTTGTTCCTTCTCTACTCTAGCTGCTTCACTTGACTCAGGGAGAAAAAAAGTTTGTAAAGAGAAACTAGGAAAACATTCACCACTCAAGACAAAGTCTAATTTCCCTAATATACAAAGGTTGCTAAAAATCATTGAGGGGGCTGGCTGCTTAGCGCAGTTGGTTAGAGCATGGTGCTGATCACACCAAGGTCCAGGGTTCGATCCCTGTACCAGCCAGCTGCCAAAAAGCAAACAAACAAAAACAAAAAATCACTAAGGACTGACAATCCAATAATAAATGAGACAAGAATGAGCCACTCCCCCAAAGAGAAAATACAAATATCCAGTAAACTGAAAATTTTCCAAGCCTCATTAAATAAAAAANCCTCCTCTCCCCACTGACTTCTCCCACTCAGGAAAGGGCACCAGGCAGAGGACCCTCCAGGGACTCACTAAAATGCTCCTGGATTCTGTTCAGAACATTCATGCTGTGCTTGCTGTCAACCATGTTCACTGCCAGGCCCCTCTTGCCGAAGCGGCCGGTGCGCCCGATCCGGTGCAGGTAGGTCTCGTTGTCTGGGTTCCCATCCTTGTCCACGGGAAGATCAAAGTTGATGACAACAGATACTTGTTCAACATCGATACCTGCATGAGGGAGAGTTGGAGATAGAGAGGGGTGATGACAGGAGACAAAAATCACTGTCGCCCACAGTCAGGCCAACGTCCACCAACTTCAGGTTGAGGGAGAGTCTGGGACAGGCAGGAACCAGGTACGAGAGAGAGGCACACAGACACGTAGTGGAACCCAGAGGAGAAGAACAGAACTTTGGCAGGTGCTGACAAGATTATGCGATCAGTAATACAGCCTCTGCCAGACACAAGTAACTGGAGTTGTAGCTGAAAACTCGCTGGCTGCCCCGGGAAGAGCAGGCTCCACACACAACCAGTCAGATGCCTGTACGTTTCCTTCCACCACAAGTCGGGACTCCCAGCTTCTGTGTAAGTTCTCATCAACTGAGGGAAATCCAGGCTCTCACAGAAAGGAATGTCACCACCAACCCCAGCCATCTCCCTGAGCCCACCTGAGTTTTCCATATACAGGGATTTCTCTCGCTAACGGGGCCTGGGACTGGAGCCTGGGAGACCAGGCCACACGCTCTGCTCACCTCGGGCACACACGTTGGTGGTCACCAGGACCTTCTCTTTGCCCTCTCGGAAGCGCTCAATCACCGCAGCCCTCTGCTCCACCATCATTTCACCACTCAGCAGAGCCACCTGGTGGCCCTCTTTTGAGAGCTCTGCTGCCAGCCAACTAGCTGTTTTGCGGGTCTG